TACGGATCTGCATGGGATCACTGATAATTCTTAGATTCATAGTAAATTTCCTCCTACATTCTTGTATGAATGACTATAAATGTTGTATTGCTGGTGGATGTTCAACAAAATGTTGATATAATGTGTCACAAAAAGACGTAAGAAAATGCCTCATATATCTGTAAACATAGAAGAATAATATACCGTATCTAAAACAAAAAAATTCTTGAAGTTATTTCCATTTGATCAAGGAACAATAATTTTCTGTGTAATTTATCACTATTTAAAACGGAGTTACCTCTGAAAATATGCAAATTAATGGCATTCTGAGTCTGTTTATGTGAAGTGTTCATTATCTGGAGCATCAATAAGCTGTTGGACCTGTATGGAAAGTCAAATATGGTTTTAAAATCTCAGAAAAATCACGATGGCTAAACTCAGGGCTATTTCAAAAAGTATTGTTCAGCCGAATTTCAATCCTGAGGGAAATCTCTTCCAAATGGTTGAGATTTCCAATAAAAGTTTGAGAAGACTCGTACACGTCCTTTAACATATTGTACCACATTTCTCATAAAAAATACATTTTTTGAAACACCCACCGTATCTAAAGATGCTGACCAAACGTAATTGACCGTAAAGCGTTCCTCTCTATAGTCGTCGTGGTTTTCTCGATACATGTACAGTACGCTACTGTGCTGTTGACGTCAAAAACCTCGCTCTTCGGAGAAAATGGGAATATATTTAGCATGAAAAACCACTCACAAATGAAAAATAAAATAAAATACGAGAAAACGATTTGTGACAGGAAACAACACCGGATCTCTGCGAAAAGGTCACGGCGCTCCAAAGCGCAACCTCAGAAGCCGTGATCCTAATTTTGCCTTGGGCGGAAACACAGAATTGCTTCAGGCAACACAAACCGTATATTACTGCTAATGTAGAGCCGATTAATTCAACAGAAGAGGATTTCAATACCATTAGGGTGCCAAGGTCGAAAAAGAAATAAAGAGAGAGAAAATACTGAAAATTGCGCGTAGAGCGGTTGGCATTACCGGGTCACAAAATTGTGACACTTTTGATAAATTACAGTATACAGTTCATAGGAATTTTTTTTAAGTTTCAAGGAATCATCTGGGCCATAAAGTCGACACTGCCCATCACAATTTTCGACACTACGTATTCCCGATAGTTCCGAGCCTGGGATTCGTGAAGCCCTAAGCACTTCAGAAATATGAAAAATGTAAATACAGTAAAATCTCGTTACAACGAAGCCATTGGGACCAGTAAAATTGCTTCGGTTCTTCTAAAAATTCGTTGTACAGTAACTCATTTAAAATTGTGACTATTGGGCAGAGGCGTGTAAAAAGACTTCTTGGCAAGCGATTATTCGTTAAAACGATATTCGTTGTAATGAGATTCTACTGTATGAATAAATTTAATACAGTACTGCTGTAGTAAAATACACGAAACGCACGAGCAGACAAGCAGTACAGTACTGTACTTTACTATTGCATTATCTACATGGAAGTACAATAATTCTACTCATNAATCAGTTTCTGCAGAATCCCAAAGAAAGCAGAAACTGATTTTGAGAGGTGGTTTGTGAAGTTAGGTTAGGTCAGGTTAAATTGGTCAGAGGGAAGGTACAGAGATAACAGGAAAGTAGGTACAGAGATAGCAGGAAAGTACCTTCTTATGAATATTCAGATCATTTTCATTCAGCGCGTTTGGGATTGAAGGGAATGCTGGATAATTCCGGGCAGGAACCTTTGCCGTATTCGCTGATTTTATTCATCAGCTGTATACGTGGATAATTTCGCATGGGTCGGGATTTTTCTTTTCTCGTTTCTTCTTCGACTTGTCATTTGCACTGCACCCTGATCGGACACTGATTATTCCCCCTTCCAGCAGAAAGCGGGACGGCAATGTAATACCCCCATGTGTGGTCAATCCGGCCCGATTTTCCTTCCGGAAGTGTGGGGCTTTGATTTGAAAAGGCCGGAAGACGAAGAAGGGACGGGAGGGTAATGAATTGAAGCGGGGTTTCTCCATTCCGTTCCCTATTGATCTCCGGGAGGAGACGTTTAGAATGAATAGCCGTGATTGTGTTGTATTATTGGCAGTGGTTTCTGAGAGGGCTTGATTTTCTGTATTGCAGGCTTCACGAACGGCGACGGGAAGAATGGCATTCACCCGCGCGCCGTCGTCCATTCCCCCGGCACGAACGGCTTCTCCAGCTTTGAGGCGTTTGCGACGCAAGATAGAAGGTAATCGATCAATCGATTTCATTTCTTTTGCATATACAGTAAAATCTCGTTACAACGAAGCCATTGGGACCAGTGAAATTGCTTCGGTTCTTATAAAAATCCGTTGTACAGTAACTCATTTAAATTTGTGACTATCGGGCAGAGACGTGTAAAAAGACTTCTTGGCAAGCGATTATTCGTTAAAACGATATTCGTTGTAACGAGATTCTACTGTACTGTACTGTATATATTTTTCTTAAACGGGGGGTAATAATCGTCGTTGGTGCACAAGATTGCTTAATCCGTTCTAGTCAGAAGAACAGCATCCTAAAATTAAATCAACGAGTTGATATGTACCGTAAGTTGCAGTGCAGTAAAGCGCTCTTTATGTAATAATGGCTCATTGGTTTGATGCCGTCGTAAAGCACATTTACGAAAGGATACGGATCTGCATGGGATCACTGATAATTCTTAGATTCATAGTAAATTTCCTCCTACATTCTTGTATGAATGACTATAAATGTTGTATTGCTGGTGGATGTTCAACAAAATGTTGATATAATGTGTCCAAAAAATGTAAGAAAATGATTCATATATATTCGTAAATATATAAGAATAATATACCGTATCTAAAACAAAAATTTCTTGAAGTTATTTCCATGTGATCAAGGAGCAATACTTTTCTGTGTAATTTATCACTATTTAAAATGGATTTAATTTTTTGAAAATATGCAAATTAATGGCATTCTGAGTCTGTTTATGTGAAGTGTTCATTATCTGGAGCATCAATAAGCTGTTGGACCTGTATGGAAAGTCCAGTATGGTTTTAAAATCTCAGAAAAATCACGATGGCTAAACTCGGGGCTATTTCAAAAAGTATTGTTCAGCCGAATTTCAATCCTGGGGGAAATCTCTTCCAAATGGTTGAGATTTCCAATAAAAGTTTGAGAAGGCTCGCACCCGTCCTGTAACATATTGTACCACATTTCTCATAAAAAATACATTTTTTGAAACACCCACCGTATCTAGAAACGCTGACCAAACGTAATTGACCATAAAGCGTTCCTCTCTATAGTCGTCGTGGTTTTCTCGATACATGTACAGTACGCTACTGTGCTGTTGACGTCAAAAGCCTTGCTCTTCGGAGAAAATGGGAATATATTTAGCATGAAAAACCACTCACAAATGAAAAAAAAAATAAAAGACGAGAAAACGATTTGTGACAGGAAACAACACCGGATCTCTGCGAAAAGGTCACGGCGCTCCAAAGCGCAACCTCAGAAGCCGTGATCCTAATTTTGCCTTGGGCGGAAACACGGAATTGCTTCAGGCAACACAAACCGTATATTACTGCTAATGTAGAGCCGATTAATTCAACAGAAGAGGATTTCAATACCATTACGGTGCCAAGGTCGAAAAAGAAACAGAGAGAGAGATAGAGAGAGAAAATACTGAAAATTGCGCATAGAGTGGTTGGCATTACCGGATCACAAAATTGTGACACTTTTGATAAATTACCGTATACAGTTCGTAGGAATTTTTTTTAAAGTTTCAATAAGGAATCACATGGGCCATAAATTCGACACTGACCATCACAATTTTTCTGTGATGCATAAGGGCTATCAAGGCTCGGACCCTAAGCACTTCGGGATTCGTGAAGTCTTTATACTTTTTACATTTATGTCATTTTAGAGCAATGTTGCTTCGGTAACCCTGGTCATTTTAACGAACGGTTCTTCTAAAAATTCGTTGTACAGTAACTCATTTAAAATTGTGACTATTGGGCAGAGGCGTGTAAAAAGACTTCTTGGCAAGCGATTATTCGTTAAAACCTATAAGCAACATTACTCTAAGATGACATACTTATTTAAATTATGTCATGACGACATCATTTTATGTGCTTTGCGTGCTCGTCTGTTCGTCATGTCATGACATGAAATGATAACGTAATAGATGTACGAAGTACAATAATTCTACTCATAAATGGCGTCAAATGTTGAAACATGTGATAGTCCTACTGTGTTCTAGCATGTGTTGAACATTACTCACCGGATTTAGTGTTTTTATCCGTTTTCTTGATGCTACTACTCCCAATAGACAGTAGTGTTTGCGTACCACCTAATGAATTCAGAAGCACCGCCAATGATTCAAATTTGAGAGACGCATAGTAAAATTAAAAAATGTACGCTGGTAACGAGAATTTTAAATATTCTCCGATCTCTCGAACTTCTGTCTCCTTCTCGATTATTTCGGACCGTATCTTCTTTCAATTCCTTTGCGTGATTCCCCTATGAACCATTTATTTTAGAACCCGTTTTTTTATTGGAAAACATACGCGGAATGATTGGTATACGCATTCCGCCGGGTCAAAGTCCTTGATCAGAAAATTTGAGAGACTGAAATTTTAAAGAAGCATTCTTTTGTCAATTCATTTTTTCAAGACTGGGATTTCCCGCCGACGAGTTCGCCGCAGCGGCGGCAGCAGCCGCGGCGATGCGGTGTCCGTCGTTGCAGGTAGCAGATATTCGTTGTAATGAGATTCTACTGTATGAATAAATTTAATACAGTACTGCTGTAGTAAAATACACGAAACGCACGAGCAGACAAGCAGTACAGTACTGTACTTTACTATTGCATTATCTACATGAAAGTACAATAATTCTACTCATAAATGGCGTCAAATGTTGAAACATGTGATATTCCTACTGGGTTATAGCATGTGTATTGCTGTTGAACATTACTAACCGGATTTAGTGTTTTTATCCGTTTTCTTGAAATTACTGCTCCCAATATTAGTAGTGTTTGTGTACCACTTAATGAATACAGAAGCACCGCCAATGATTCAAATTTGAGAGACGCATAGTAAAAAAAATGTACGCTGGTAACAGAGTTTTAAATATTCTCCTATCTCTCGAACTTCGTCCTTCTTCTTGATATTTTCGGACCGTATCTTCATTCAATTCCTTTGCTTGATTCCCCTATGAACCATTTATTTTAGACCCCGTTTTTTTTATTGGAAAACATACGCGGAATGATTGGTATACGCATTCCACCGGGTCAAAGTCCTTGATCTGAAAATTTGGGAGACTGAAATTTTAAAGAAGCATTCTTTTGTCAATTCATTTTTTCAAGACTGGGATTTCCCGCCGACGAGTTCGCCGCAGCGGCGGCAGCAGCCGCGGCGATGCGGTGTCCGTCGTTGCAGGTAGCGGCGACGCAGCAGCAAGTGGCGGCTGTCGCACATCCGGCCACACCGGGCGCCGCCACGCCCGGGGTGGTGCCGCAGGGTGCCGTTCCTGGCGCCACGAGTCTCGTGTCGAGTGCTGCGGCGGCCCTCAGCCCGGCGTCCGTCGCCGCCACCGGCATCCTCATGAGCCACCAGAACCAAAACCAAGTTACCGGTTGCGTCATGATGGTCTACGGCCTCGACCCGGAAAAAATGACCTGCGACCGGCTCTTCAACATGTTCTGTCTCTATGGGAATGTCATTAGGGTGAGTTCAGCTGTTCTTCGTTTTTCCTGATTAGTCTTGGGGGGGGGGGGTTCATCGACCCTTGTTCAGCGTTTCACGTTTGTATACAGGACGTATTTTGGCGGAAACCCGTGTCACTAAATTCTCAAACGTTTCCTGTTGAATTGAATTTTCTCAACCCTTAATCATCGTTTTTACACATTTCGAGGAATTGGAAAAATTGTACGAATTAAAATTGAATAAGTTTCAAAAGAGGCTGGGTGTTCTTTTCATGTTACGATGGAAAGGTGTAAAACACAATTTCTTCGTTCCTATATTTATATAAATCCTCGCTTCATTTGCGAAGGCATTGAAAAAGCGACGAATTAATTAAAACTCCAAAAGGAAATTCCGCCATTAACAATCGCTCCAATTCTCGCCTTTTGCTTGGGGAAATGCAGTTTTATTTTGATCAAACCTTTTTGTGTTAGTCAATACTTCACACGTTTTGCTTTACGAATTCAAAGTCATCTGATGTAACTTGGACAATACGTTTTAAGCACGATCTTCTGATCGCATTTTGAAGGGGAAAAAATGAAAGCTTTAGACGAGAACAGGCAATGATTTTACGCCTACATGCGTATCCCCGTAAAGTTCCCGGAACTTCTGCAATTCAAAATATTTGAGCTTTGTTGAGAAAAAAAGACGCGTATTTACTGAGCTATTCGGGCTGAAGTACGGCGAAACAAAGTGAATACGGCTTCTGAATCCATCAGAAAGTGCTACGTGAAACGCATTCTGAAATTTCAGGAAGTACTTAAAAATCCTTCGGGGTTGGAAATTTAACGAACGAGCTGGACTCGCATAAAACGTAACTTGGTCTTGTGTTAACCAACGTCACGCATGCGACTCTTGCCTTCATCCTATATATTCAACTGCCATTTCCTATGATGAGCCACTTTTGAGCATGCTGAGACGCCATGATGAAACTTTGCGACGTGATAAATAATATTTCCGAGTCCGCGTTTCGACTATCCATCCATTCCTTGAGCTCGGTAATCCGTCGCATAATAAATGAATGCCTTCGGCAGCCGGAGGGGAATGCTCGTCGTGGTACTTGATGAGAATGGAAATCTTCCATTAAAGAAGCCATGTGGACGGGATCCCGAAGGAAGGCCTTCGTATGCACGCAGGGTTGGTTCAAAACTTCCGTTGAATGGTTTGACATCTAATTCGAGTTGGGCATTGTGTGAAAAAATATGTTCCTCTTCATTTCATCATATTTTTATTTTCTTGAAATAGGTTTATTGTACAGTATTCGTCTATTTAAATCGGTGACTTTTTATTTGACAGAGAAATGTAACGAAACTGTTGGATATGGGGTCCATTCCTGAGATATCCTGCGCAGAGGGAAAATTAATTTTATTCAGCATTTTCGTCGTTGAAGGTTCTTCCAGAAGCAATTTGATGAGCGTAAATTTTTCAATCATGAATTATGGACAGAGAGAAAAAAGATTAAATTTATCTTTCTTCTCCAACGTTAAAATTAATCTGATGCCTACGACGAAAAGCGCTTGTATCCAAAATAATGTACAGTAAAATTTTTGCTCGACGATTGGGATTTCTCAATAAATTAAATGACTCAAGACTGGAGAAAATATAGTACTGTATCCTTTTCTATATACACGTTGTTTCTTCAGATACTTAGCATACAATAGTTTTCTTCGCTGAAAGTGTTCTCCTCCAGCAACGATGTCATTCATGCACTAATGACCACGTCTCAGGAAATTTGGATGAATGATGTGCTTCTGGGAACAGCGCGTTACTTTTCAAGATTTTCAATTCAACGTACTGTATATTTTCATCCAATTCGAATGTATCGTGCTGAATATTCTGTGAAATTTTAAAATGCGCCCTGAATTTTGTAATTTTATTCCCCGTTACTCCGGAGTATTTTGATGCTCAATTTTTCTCGAAAACTCATGAACCAGGATAAACAGATATACGCGATCAAATAAATGCAGACCGGAAGACTTGGAATGAAATGAAGCCGGGATCTTTCCGTCCAATATACTGCATGGTGCTTATATGTGTATGCCGTACCTGTGCACGAGGGTTGAATCAAAAGTTTTCACAGTCTTGGGAAATTCTCTTATTGAATGAATGGAGATGATCGTAATTTTATCGATATGATTCTTCATCCTTTCCTGATCCTTACTCCCATTTTTTTGTTTCCTGGTGAAACGAAAGGTGTTGATGACGTACACCTTTTCAATGTGAGGACTTGAGATTTTCCTGCAATAAATGGATGTTTTTGAATTTTAAGAAAATTTAAATGCTGCCAAGTGTTATAAAACCGATAAATATTTCAAGTTCAATTGTTCCAGATCTGACAGCTGTGTTTTAATGAGAAAAATGTTTTTTTATTGGATTTGATTTTAGTTTTGGATTCCGTTCAGTGAAATCATTCTATCTCAATTTATTTCGTAGCATGAAATATTATAATATGATTTGAATCGAAATTTCTCGTTTACATCCACAACTCGAAGAAATATTGTTGGTGAAGTGTATATACATATATATTCCGCTGTATGATCTAAATTTGTCGAGTTTAATGATATTTATGTTTGGGGTGATGGCATTTGCGTTCCAAATGAATAATTATTCTTAAACCAGCGACGGCCTGATTCAAATTTTGTTTTTGACCCTGCGTTGATTTTTGAGGTCTTTTTTATTCGAAAATTGCCCAGATCACTGAATAATCTATTCTGTAAAATTGACTCGACTTCTGAACTATCCCTCGTGCGTTTTTGGAGCTATTGTCGGGATTCGTCCGAGGGTTTTCGTGAAGAATCGGGCGATCAATTTTCATCTCCCGTTCCACCGCGTCCGATATTCTTATTATTCTAGCCGAACTCATCTGCGTATTTAATCGCTACGTAAGCGAAATCTTGAGGATTGTCTTCCCCGACACCTTATTCCATCCCTGTGGTCTAAACGAGTAATCTTTAGGCAAACTCAATTTTTGTCGACCCACTCATTTACCGAGGTCCTTGGAAAAAGAGGCATTTTTTTCAAAGCAGACCTACGGTGGGTTCAATTGCATGCTACGGCTGGAAAAAGTTGAATTTGTTCTTGGAAAACCTTGGTTCCCGATATGTACAGTTAACAATGTCGAATCTCTTGCAACTCCGATATTCGAATGCACTCCGTTGAATGCATTAATTAGGTACTGTACAATATTTGAGTATGAAAGCGATAAGTTCAATTTTGAAAGCAACGGAAGTTTACGTGCCGTCCAAAAAATTTACTGTAGTTCCTTTTTATGTGCTCATGTAATTACTCTCGAAAATTTTTGCCTTCATTTTGTGTTCTGAATAGTTTTCAGAATAAAATGGAATCGATAGGTAATTTTACGTCAGAGATATTTCAGCAAAAATCTTTCTATCCTGATTCAGAACGTATTGCTCCTCATAAAATACTCCATGATATATTTTTAGGCTCCTAATCATATCTATTAACAATTATTGAATTGTAGCTGTAATTTTCGTGCAACGTTGAACTAAATGCCAGGATTTTCCTGGTGTTCCTCTCGAACCGAATTTATGAGCTTTACATACAATTTATGAGCTCTCTGCTACTTTCGCCCATCATTATTCTACCAATAAAGCCTATTTTATTCCCTTTAATATTTTTTTGGGAATTCAATATCAAATTTATCATTCTAAATTTGCGTATGTTACGGAATGTCCACAAATCAAAGCTTCCCCTCGTACTTGATCAAATGTGACTAATATTCTCATGTTCTAGAGATTTTTTGAAGACCGAACATTTAATCCATATTTTAAATGACTTTGTTTATTCAAACGCAATTACTGTAAGTGAAGACTCGCTGCAATTTTTTTTTCGAGGGACATTGACTGTGCAAAAGAAAGTGTGTTTATTGAAAATACTGTATTTAATTGAAGCTTGACTGCGATGATACATGACATCTTTAGGAAGTGAACGCGGTACGAATTATTTTATTGAGTGCGCATTTTTAAAAATTTCGCACGGTGGGGCATGTTGTCAGCGGATAAAAGTGCACCTGATTTTTTTTTACAGTCATGAGCAGAAATAGACGTTTCTTGTGTTTGAGTAAATGCGGTATTTACAAATGCTCTGCGAATTTCGGCGTTAAAAGGGGGACGTTCGAAGGAGGAAGACGCGAGAGTTATGCCATCTCGGCTCATTAACCGCGTCCGACGCGGTTGCCAACGGAAACCCGGGGGGATCTTGGATCCCTCGGACACGGCATAACATCACACTCCCGCCCTCGAGTCCAGAATTCTCGCACGGGGGGGGGGGTAGAAAAGAGTTCTTACCACCCTTGTTCAGGGTGGGGGGAAACCCCTGGATTGATCCCGGATCCCTAGATAAGTCGTCCCAAGAGTGTTTATGAAGACTTGAGCACGCGAAGAGAATTATTTCTCGGTTATATAGGCGACTGAGAGAGAGGCAGGCATATTCTGTTGAGAACCACAGCAGACTCATCGGGGATTAAATTTTTGCGTGTGGAAAAAACGGGGTTCGATAGGATTTTTTTCATGTTTCTTATTCTTAAATTATCATCGAATTTTAAACTTTAAAATCGGGTTGCATTTTATGAAATTACGATCATGAACTTGATCGATGACCTGATATTCGTTGGTGATATTTTAAAAATTATTTTCAAAGGAACATGAATATTCTTGAAGAAAACATCAAAGAATGGGTTCGTTTAAGAAATTCCGACCATGAACTTGATCGATGACCTGATATTCGTTGGTGATATTTTAAGAATTATTTTCAAAGGGACATGAATATTCTTGAAGAAAACATGAAAGAATTGGTTCGTGACTCAGATAATTTCCTTGTGTTCGGAATCGAAACTCGGGGACCGTATCTTCAATCGTCACATTCTGGGGCTTTTTGAATAGCTTTTTTTTATATCAGGAGCATTTCGAGGCGATTGAGCGGATTCTTATCCAGTGTAAAAGTTTTTTTTTTAATGCGGATACTTTGCTCGTCGTCAGAAAAGTCTGGTTTTTTTCGACTCCACTTGAAAACTTTAAAAATATGTATCAGTACAGTACTGTATATTTTTACCTAACTAGTTCTGTGATCTCACGCTGTTGGTTCTTCGAATGATTCCGTTCGTTGGCTTAGTACACAACGGAGGTGCGGC